AACAAAAATCAGAAACAAAGTCATTGAATGAATAGTGCTGTTTTGGCATTTTATTCACAAAAGTCTAAAGCTTGATTCCCCTTTGTTTTCTTCCTTATATGCACGAAATTTCTACCCAAATAAACCCAAAGAAGATCAGCTCAAAATCAGGAGAAGCATCATGGAAGATCAACTCACATGGATGGGCATTAAGCATTGATTTGTAGGAAAGAAGTAGGAAGCTTCCTTGTTGTATTCTTCCTTCATTGTTCTTGTATTTTTCCTTATTTGTTGTTGTATAAATACTTCAGCCATGAGGCCATTGTAACACACCAGATTATTGAATTAAAAACCTTTGTTTTACTCTTTGAGTAATTCTTTAAAATAGTGTGATGCTATTTTAACCAAATTTCCTAATGAAATATCTCTAAAGTTGGCTACTTTTGAGTGCGTGTTAGGAGTCTAATTTTATACATTAGTAGTGATTATTAATGTGTAGAAAAAGATAAAAGCCCCAAGTTAAGATAAGAGTGTGTCATATCTCTTAACACCAACTTGGTTTATCCCTTCACGAGTAGCTATTTTGTGGCGGATTTCGCGGAAGGACATGGATGACGGAATTGAAGGGGTGAAATATGGAGTGTGGGAAAGAGTTCTTTTTGGTGTTTTTAATTAATGAAGATAGAATAGAATGGGGTTTAGGAATAGAAAATGGAGAGGAATGAAATGGGCAGAAAAAGTGAAGGGATAAACCAAGTTGGTGTTAAGAGATATGACACACTCTTCTCTTAACTTGGGGCTTTTATCTTCTTTTACACATTAATAATCACTACTAATGTATAAAATTAGACTCCTAACACGCACCCTAAAGTAGCCAACTTTAGAGATATTTCATTAGGAAATTTGGATAAAATAGCATCACACTATTTTAAAGAGAATACTCAAAAAGAGTAAACAATAATTTCATTCAAAACAATCTGATTATACAATGAACCAGGGCTGAAATATATAGGCCTTGGGAATGGAGAAAACAATACAATAAACATGATTACATGATAAATAAAATACAACAAAGGAAACTTCTCACTTCTTTCCTACAAAATAAAACAAATGCTGTGCATGTGTTAATATCCCAAATGAGTTGAATTCTTGGCTAATGATCAGGGATTTTGGCATATAATTTGAGTGGTTTTATGTATGATTTTCGTCCTTAGGGTGAAGGAATAAAGGAAACAACATGGCTTGACTTCTAGTGAAATATAGGACAGAATATTACTATTCAATCAAAGACTTTTTGGGCAGGCACATGGATGAGGGATTAAGCTTATAAAAGTCTTTGATTTTGTTGAATAATAACATGGGAATTTCGTCCATATATAGTGGGAATGGTATTTAGTCAAGTGTGTTCCTAAATGATAAAACCTTTAATGTTCAATCAAAAACCACTTTACTGATTTCTGAGTTCAGAGCCGTGTGATAATCGATTATCGCCTACTGATAATCGATTAATCAGTTATGTCTTCAAACCCAGAATTTTCAGAATTGTCCAATAATCGATTAACATTTTAGAAACAATCGATTATCAAAGACTGGCTCCCAAACCGGATATTTTCAGAGATGAATGATAATCGATTTTCAATTGGGAGAGAATCGATTATGGAGCATTGTAGGAAAACGTTAGGAGAATTCAGAGGGAAGTAATAGTCGATTATGTATGTTTGATAATCGATTATTATGACTTTCAGGAGCAGGATCGGAAGAGAAAAAGAAAGGCATTATTTTTAGGAGAATGATTTGAAAATAAGCAAACAAAGGTTTTGGCTTTTATTTTCTTATCATCTTGATGGAAAAGACTTTATTTTTGATAAAAGAAAAGAAATAAAACTTTTGGATATGTTGGGAGAGTTGGGGATTTTGGTGGAGCTATCCAGGGGTACATCACCATCTCACCTTTCCGACTATGTTTGTCACTCCGCCCTCACGTCTAACTCCAATGCTAGCTCCTCGGGCCCTTCTGCACGGTCAGGTACTCGGTTCCTTATCACTGACTTCGTGACTTATGATAAATTACAAGACAGGTATCATGGTTTCTTGGCAGCTATCACCACGTCGGAAGCCCCCACCTCTTTCCCCATGGCTATTCAACACGCCAACTGGCGGGCCGCCATGCAACAGGAAATTCATGCTTTGGAAGGTAACCACACATGGGACATTGTTGATCTCCCTCCTGGCCGCCGTGCATTGGGCTGTCAGTGGATTTATAAGACTAAGTTCCATTCCAACGGTTCGAAAGAGCACGAAAAAGCGTGTCTTGTGGTTATGGGCAATCACCAAGAACCAGGTACTGATTTCACTAATACATTTGCACCCATTGCTAAAATGGGTACGATTCGTATTCTCTAATCTGTTGTCGTGGCCAAGGATTGGGAGGTATATCAATTGGATGTCAATAATGCTTTTCTTCATGGTGATTTGCATGATGAGGTATATATACAGGTGCCCTGGTTATTCTCATCTACACCCCGGAAGGTGTGTCGTCTTTGAAAGTCTTTGTATGGCCTACGACAATCTCCCCGTAATTGGTTTGAGAAACTGACCACTACTTTGCGTCAGTCGGGTTTCGCCAGGCTCACAAGGATCACACACACTCTTCTTATATTGGCGTGGTCATGATGTTTTGGCTATTTTGGTTTATGTGGACGACATTCTGGTTACTGGTAACAACACCTCTTTGTGTGCTTCCTTTAAGCGTTACCTGGATACGTGTTTCCACTTGAAAGATTTGGGTCCGGTAAAATATTTTCTCGGCATTGAGTGTGCCCGGTCTTCTATTGGAATGGTGTTGTGCCAATGTAAATATGCGTTGGATATTCTCTCTGAAGCGGGCTTATTGGGGTGCAAGCCCGCTGATATTCCCATACAGCCAAACCCCCATGGCCTGGGTCGTTCGGCGAGCCCCTTGTTGCATGACCCTAGGCGCTACCGTCGTATTGTCTGATGTTTAATATATTTGACTATCACGCGTCCCAACTTGGTTTACTCTGTTCAAGTATTGTCTCAGTTTATGCAGGCTCCAAGGGTCGATCATCTCGTCGTGGCCATGCGTGTATTGCGCTACCTCAAAGGACATCCGGGTCAGGGAATTTTTCTTCGTCGTGACAGAACACTACAGATCACGGCTTACTGTGATTCCGACCGGGCCAGTTGCCCCCTTACCCGACGGTCTGTCAGCGGGTACTTCGTCATGCTTGGTGGATCCCCAGTTTCTTGGAAAACCAAGAAACAAACGACGGTGTCTCGATCTTCTACAAAAGCCAAATACTGCGCCATGACCAACACCTGCGTAGAGATCCGATGGATCAGGCACATTCTTCAGGCTCTCGGCGTGCCCATCTTGCATCCTCCTCGCTTGTTTTGCGATAATCATTCCTTGTTGTTTATTGCTGCGAATCCTATTTTTCATGAGCGGATGAAACACATAGATATTGATTGCCATATTGTACGAGAGTGTGTTCATCGTCGAGAAGTCTCTACACGTTATTTACCGACGCGCCTCTAGGTAGCGAATCTCTTCACCAAGCCGTTATCTAAACCCACGTTTCAGTTCTTGCGGTCCAAGTTGGGCATTCATGATCTTCATGCGACAACTTGAGGGGGAGTGTTAGCAGGTCATGTGTTATTTGGTCTATATTGTACTTATTATTTGATTGGGCTTGGCCCGTTGTACTTGTCTATATAAACACTTGTTGATTAATGAGAATGCAAGCCAGGGTACCCAAAGTTTTACAGTTTTTGAAAATAAAATAAATTTATTACATGTGAGACCCACCATTAGAAAAAAAGAGTAAAAAAAGTGCGAAAAACCATTAAAATATTGAGAAGAATTAAGAGGAAATGTCATGTAGCAGCATAAATAGATGAGCTTAAGAGCAAAGGAAGAAGCATTATAATTGGTATTATATTATACAGAGAAAAAAATATCATCCAAAATATGAGTAAAAGTACGAAGTAATTTTTAACTCTCAAAATAGGAGTTACATAGTTTTCATCACAAAATAAAATTATTACATTATGACATTGTATTATGACATCTCACTAGTTTTTCATATTACTCCTATATGTAAAACATTGTTGGTATTGGAGTAGTATAAATCTTGTTTTGTGGATAAAAACATAAAAATTATATTTTAGTTCTTTTCTAATGTTTGACTCTTATTTTAATCTTTTTTCTACGGAATGGTCATTGCATTAGGGATAATTACATCATGCCATGAACATCTTGAAATTACCATACTTGTATGAAGTTGTGTTATTTAAAATTCAATTTTCATTAGTCATATTTAGTTAAACAATTAGGCTCCGCTTGGAATGGAGGAAAATGACTTCCATAGTGGTATGTTTGGGAACATAGATTTGGATTTCAAATCTGGATTTGACTCAAATTCCATGTTTGGGAAACTTAAACATTTTGAATTTGGATTTGAGTCAAATTTTTCTCATTCATAAGAAAGCTTAATTTGAAATCCATGCACGACTCCTTGTCATTTGAAATTCAAGATTTCAAATTTTGGAATTGAAATGCATGAATTGAAATGAAATGCTAGTTGCCAAACACTACCTAAATAAATTTTGGATGTTTGGCAACACACAGAAAATATAAGTCAATAGAAAATCACTCGTGGTCAAATGAAAAAAATGAGCTCAAAATTTGGGAGTTTGTCTTCCGGAAAATTTTATCTAAAGACAATTTCCTTCTCTTTCGTCTTCAATACTTGCCTCACTCTCTTCGTCTGTTCCCTTCACCACCATCACAATCCATCATCCTCATCGCAACCATCCAATTCGTTGATGTCCCCTTTTAATTCTTCGCAACCTCCTTTGAGTTTTTTTTTTTTTTTGTTTATTAATTTAGATTCTTTTGGGTGATTTTGATTAATAAGACTGATATTTCAAGTTTGATGGCTATGGATATGCAGTTCTTGAATTGTAACTTCCTCTCTACTCGCAACGGTGTTGCCTTACAAGTACTATTTTCCAGAAAATGAAACAAACAGTAATAATAGTTTTGAGATTTTTTACGAAACAATCGAAAAAGAAATTGACTTTGGAAAATAACTCATTTTCCAAAAGTCATTTTCCATAGGTCACCTTCTTAGTTTCGAAACAGAGCCTTAATGTTTTACACTTTTACCTCTATGAAAACTATATTGATAGTTTTACAAGACCGAAAGAACTAGTTTTTGCATGGAATGAAAAATTGTTATTCCGTACATAAATAATTATTCTAACCATATAAGTACAGTTATACCACTTATACGTACAGAAGGGACAAGTAAAATGGGACAAATGAGTACACCTTTGAATAAGAAATATACATGATATGGGGGAGTTTTTTTTTAAATAATTTCACAACAAAGAGCGGGTTAAACGGTTCAACCAGTGATTTCCTACACGGTGGGGTTATATCTTTTTTTAAAAAAATAATATGCGAAGCAGCAGCATTTGTAGCTAGACAATACCATAAACCAGAATAGGTAGAAACAGAAGAAGCACGGTGGAACAGCCCAAAATGATGAAACCAAGAACAGACTTAATCTATCTACATCGCCAACTTTACGTGCCTCCCAACATTGCCAAATGCCCTCGTAGTCTGATACACAGTTTTGACAATTCGTTCAGCAACTCGCACTCTCGACTTGTAGATGACGACACGGGCAATTCTAATTGCTGTGAAGGTTGAGGGTCAGCTAGCAATCGCTGGAGTTGTGAACATAGCATCAGTGCATTTTGATCATGTTGACATGCATTTAAGAGAAGCTGAAGCAATTTACAACTCTGATCTTGTGGGGAAGAAGGTGAAGGTGGTTGGATTGGGATGGGAGGAACTAAGAAAGGGTGTTGGAGCAGCTGGGGAATCCTCCATCTTTTATTTCGGTCCCATGTAAGACAGTTCTTCATAAGGTCAAGGAGCCATGGATTGGAAACCGGTTCGTATTTTATTTCATGGTTGGCATCTGTAATAACTTTAAACTTAGCCCAGAAGGTTCTGTGTTCTGAAAATGGTGTCCGGCCATAAACCATTTGGTAAAGGATGCAACCAAGTGACCAGATGTCTGATGGACGACCACATTTTATGATGTTTCCGTTTGCGTCTGTCTCGTTGCACAAAAATGCTTCCGGAGACATGTAACTTAGAGTGCCCACCTGCACATGTTTATTACCAAGAAAATATAACGTGAGCAGTTACAAATAATGTATATATCATAAAATTGATCGATTGGAGGGAGGACCAAAGCTTATTTATCCTTCAGCAACAACGGAAAAAAAAAGAGTAAAGCTGTGAAATGAATGACCTGTCCATCCCTCTGAATGTTTGTGGTGTCGTTCAGTATAGCCTTGGCAATGCCAAAATCTATCAACTTCAGTGAGCCTTTCACAAGTAGGAAATTAGCTGGCTTTAGGTCTGAGTGCACAATCCGTTCTTCATGTATGGTTTTCACAGCAAGAAGAATTTGCTGTAGCACATGAAATAAAAGTATATGAAAACATTTCAGACCATCAGCAATAATCCATAATATTAGACAGTTACATGAAGCAACAACAAAAGCACCAGTCTCTCTTGATTTTTAAATAGGTCAACCTATTTGCATGAAACCCATTTGTTCACACTTTTTTTTCAAAAGACATTACTGACCAACCAACACTTTTAAAAAAACCCCATCCCCATAGGATTGGCCAAGTTCATGTTTTGACTATTATTATTTTAATTATTTACTTAAATACGGAGTATATATTTGGTTGAGTCATCAAAAAAATAATTGGTTGAGCAGTTACTCCCTCCGTCCGGAAATGTTCTTCACATTTGACTTTTCTTGGTCAAAATTTATAAACTTTGACTACGATTTGTGGAAAAAACACATTGTATTATGATGTTTTTAATATCAATATATTCATAATGAAACATAGTTTTCAAATATCAAATTTTTATAAAATATATCTATTTATAAATATAGATATTAATGGTCAAAGTGCAATATTGGAGACCGTGAAAAGTCAAATGGGAAGAACATTTCCGGACGGAGGGAGTATTAGCTTGAGACGCTAGGGCGGCTCGGGACACTTGAGCAGCATGCTGAGATGCTGATCCATGTAGTCTAGGCCCGCCAATTGCATCAGGGATTTTGCTAGGGATGTGTTACTTGTTAGAGGTCGCCAGGCATACAACCTCTAGAGGGGGCTGGCGGTGGAACAGTACGGCTCAACTTCCCAGCAAAGATTATGCCAAGAAAGTGGCCTACACATCACTTTCGGTGAGTATTAGACTATTTTGTTGGAATTAAGGTACTGTATGCGGTTTAGCCTTGGTGAAGTGGAGGCCGCTATTAGTGGAATGAAAATAGAAAGAACAGTCAGATATGATGAGATCCCATAGAGTTTTGGAGGACTGCTCGCAGAGTTTTTTAGTGTTGTTTTTAAATTGACTAAGATGTCTAACCATTGTACAAGGATAAAGGTGATATCTAGAATTGCAACTACAGGGGCATCAAATTGCACAACCAACCTATTTGCTGGGGCAAAAAATGAATTGACGTGCACATCCGGAGATTCCTTGGGGCATGCTTTTTGCAGACGATATTGTCTCAAATGGCAAAACATGTGAGGAAGTTAATGAAAGAATAAAGTTGGAGGAAAATCCTTGAGACTTGAGGTTTCAAACTGAGCAAGACTAGGACAGACTGACAGAGTAAATGGAGAGCAGTTTTAGCAGTGTACCAGATGAGTCAGAAGTGAATATGCATATCGAATTTCAGCCTATCCACAAAAGGGATTGTTTTTGGCATGTTGGATCTCTCATCCAAATTCGCGATTGATAGGGATCCCCACATTGCATTGGGCCGGGCTGGATGAAATGGAGGCTTGTGTCAGGTGCCTTGTATGAAGGGAATGTACCATTGAAATTGAAAGGCAAATTTTATCAAAGGGTGTTAGATGCCTTTGAAGTATGGGTCAGTATTGGCCAGTAAAGAACACTCATGTCCATAAATGAAGGAGATAGAGAGGAAAATGCTTAGGTGGATGAGCAGACAAACAAGGAGAATAAGATCCTAAATGACAACATAACATCTAAAATGTGGTAGCAGCGACATTTATAGAGGATACAATGTGCGAAGCTATATTGAAGTTGTTTGGATATGCGGAGAGGAAAAGTAGAAATGCTTCAGTGCGAGAGGTTGGAAGTACAAAATTGGAGTATACGGAGACTAATGAAGAGTTAGAGTGAGGTCATATAAGGCAGGATTTGAGACTTCTGCAGCAGAGGGCATGATTTTAGATAGGGCCGCTTCCAGGTCGAGGACTAGAGTTGCAGGTAAGCCTAGTTAGAAGCACTCCTTTCTGTGTAGGGCGGTTCGTAGGTACAATTTGATAGAGCAAGGTGTGTGATTTAAATCCTTCAGTCCCTCCATCCCTATGTGTTTTATTTTACTATTACTTTTCCTATATGTCTAGAGTTTTTTACCCGAGTAAACTTCCATCTGCTTTGCTCTATTGATTTGCTCTACTCCTCACTCTGAATTCCGTAACAGGCTTTTGTTTTGTCTTCTAAGTTGCGGTCTTGTGGAAACCGCCTCTCTACCCTATTAGGTAGGGGTAAGCTCTACGCACATTTACCTCTTTCAAACACCACTTATGGGATTGACTAGTTGTGTTTTTAAGGTTCAGTTACTCTTTGGCTATATCTACCACCTATGACAACCGCCATCCCGCAACCAAGCACTATGTATCAAGTATGGTTTTGTAGCATGAAAACTCCCTAGTTTCATTCCTCATTCCAAAACCAAAACATAACTAAAAGTGAACCAAGTGAGACCTTAACACCCCCTCACCCCCCCCCCCCAAACCTCAAAAGAACAACACAAAAACAAAATGGTCTCCAAAATGTTACCGCGCATGACAAAATATGGAATTAAAACCAGGATCGAATGTTACCACTTACCACCGATGAGCTGCAACAATACAAATCAAACAAAGGCCTGTTTACTAGCATGCACGGGGCACATAGTTTTGAAAGGCGATCACCTCCCTAATGTCAGGCGCCCAAGCGACCTTCTACCGCCTTAAGCGAGGCTTTGTTCGCCTAAGTTGCTCGCTTCTCTCGCCTCAATCATAGCCTCAGGCATTCGCTTTTCACGCCTTACTATAGTTCTGGCTTCTGCTATGGCCTTTTAAAAAAATGGGTTGGCATTTTTTGAGGAAAAGGCTAGCATCTTAAAAGCGGCTCATTTACACCCTAGCGTGACTACGCCTACCAAAATCCAATCAATCGACACAACTCTACCTCGTCTCCCCTAGTTTCATTGGCAACTCAAGTTTTGTCTCCTCTCTCTGGCATCTCTCATCAGCTCTCTCTTCTCTCTGATTCTTTTTGCAGTTCTTCTGATGCCTACTGTTTTACCATATTTTTTATGCTTCACATGTTTAGCTTACTTCACTGGTGAGGAGAGGAGAGCGATGATGAATATCAGGATGATTTCGAACCTCTTATTCCATCAAAGATGATGGAAAATATGGATTTCTCTTTGAGTGATGATGATTACGATTAGGCTTTGAGAAACATGTGTAGTAACTACTCTAATTGTTTTGTTTAACATGTATGATTTGCTTGGGATTGACATTGTTAATTGCATTGCACTATATATTTTATGTATGTGTGTGTATGCCCCAAGTTCGCCTTTTGGCCGCCCACCTCTCGCCTCGCCTTTTGCCTTAAAAAGGGCCCTCTCGCCTGACCACTAACTTTTGACGGGACACTAACCTAAAATTTTGACGGGACACTAACCTAAAATTACAATCTCAAACAACTGACCACAATTTGGTACAATGCATATAACCACCCACATTACACTAACTTTTGCACCAAAATCATTTGATCATTTCACCCCAAATTATAAGCAGAAATGGTGAGGATGTTTTGGTTCAACACTCAAATTCAATCATTCTTTGGAGGCCTGCAACACATTGTGATAGGAATGGTTTTTAAGTGCTGTTCAAATAATTTAGGTGTATTACTAGGAGAGATATGTTTACAATATTTGTTGTAGTGACATAATTTCCTCCCTACTTTTGACTAGGGGCAAGGTCTGCGTACACACACCCTTCCCAGACCCTACTTTTGTAGGACCCAATTGGGTCATTGTTGTTGTAACATAATTGTTTAGATTATATGTGTGTGAGTAGGATCCATTTTCAAGGTTTAAATAGGATTCTCACACCACAAACTGTCTTTGGTCCGCAACCCTCACAAACAGTGGTTGAAATTTTTTGAGCCTTTTTTATTACGGACGGCATTGGCCAGATAGCGTATCTGCTCGCACTTCCTCCAATATGCAAGAGTCGTGACATCTTCCATGTCCCTCCTCTATAACTGTACTGCCTGTACAAAGGCATGTGCCATTTGCAATGGGCACGCTGGCACAATTGAGCTAAAAATGCCAGTGCTTCAACTTATGTCCATCTTGTGTGCGTCATAACCAAGGTCACTAAGAACTCTGATCCACTGGTCGGCAAATATGGAAGATGAAGCTAAATGAGAGAGCTTGAAATCATTTCTCATACCATTTCCTAAATGTGAGTTTGAGAACAAGTTCTTTGAACCTGTTGTCGTGTGAACCGGCTCTGCCGCAAGGAGACCAAAGTACAACCCACAATACCAAAAGTGAATCCCATGTTTTAACAGTGTATTTTCAAAACCCTATAAGCTTCCCATTCATTTTACTACTTTAATTTGGAAAACTATTTGTATCATATTTACTTAACTCTTTATTTTACAAAAGTTGTCATAGCTAGAACTTACTTTCCTTTCAAGTTTGGGATTCTTTTCGAATATATAAGGGTTATTAGTTGAAATAATAAGTTGGCTTTGGAGGAATAACTTATTCTGTATGTACGGCAACACCTACTTTATACATATATACTGAACTTAAAATAAACTACTACCTCCGTCCCGTGAAACATTTCCCCTTTCTTTTTTTATCCGTCCCACAAAACACTTCTCATTTCTATTAAAAAGTCACTTTTACCCCTTACTTTTTCATACCCTAACTATCACATCATACCTTTTTACTAATAATCTATCCATCAAATCATACTTTTACCCATCACATCAAAGGACATTTTTGGAAATTCAATACCAAAATACACTCCCTTAAATCCCTCCTAAAAAGCAAATGTCCCATGTTTCACGGGACGGAGGTAGTAGAAAATAGTAAATATGACCTTCAATGCGGTAAAAAGGGAGTAGTAAATATGGTTAATAAAGAACCTGCCAGTAAAATCTAAGCCAATTTTCATCAATGGTTGCATTACAGTCATCTAGCTCCTTCCATTTCTGAGACAGCATGTGAGCCAAATCAATTTCACCATATTCAAGAACCATGTATATAAAGCCATCTTCTTTGACCTTGCATTCCTTATTACTCATAGAACCACTCATGACTTCCTGAAGCAAGTTCTTGTCTGTTACCTAGAAAGAAGGGGAAATAATCAGGATCTCTAAAGCACTAAACCGGGCAACATGAAACCAAATGTAGAGAATACAAATGAGAGTTCCATGGAAAGTCTTCTATTCAGGAGTCAAAACCTGGTGCCTTAGCACCAGTACCTTAAACAGTGAAAAAATAGTTAAATCACGCACAATAGTACCAAAATTTCTCTAGGGTAAGCTTACTAGATACTTTATGATTCTATCTTGATCATGTATAGTTAAAATCGGATTTCTATCTTGATCATGTATAGATCAAATCGGATTTCTCTCATTGGCATATTTCCCAGCTTTGCATCGAACTACACCAATTCTACCTCAAATTCAATAATCAATATATTTTTGTTAAAAATATCTTTACGTAATACGGTAGTAGTTTTGGTAATAAATCGTGTTACATTTCATCCAACCTTGCCAATTCTTCCACAAATTCAGTAACCAAATCTACCCCAAATGGTTTTAAAATTTCATCTCAATATTTTATATTTAGAAGGTTGAGAAGGAAGGGCATCCTGCATACAACTTTGCCACTATGCTTTTTGCAAGAATTATAGTGTTAAATACATAAATATGTTGAAACTTAAATGAACCTATCAATTTCACGCCACAGACCCAAACATAGTTGGGATTAAGGTGCTGATGATGATGGTGATGTTGAATACTTTTGATAGTAGATATGAAAATTATGAGTGGTTCAAAGTGTATTTGTACACTAAATGAATTAATGGAATTGTACATTCATGATGAAACATTATAGCCTGCGACCCTAGGCTATAGTGGCTCAAGATGAGCCTCCTCGGTCTAAGGCCAAGAGTTCAACCCCATCTCATTCACATTGTAGAAAACAATTATGAAACTCAGCATGCATGCTGAGTAAACTTACAAGAGACACACACAAGTTACATTACATAAGTTACATACAAATGCATTGTAAACTTTATCATATGTGAAGTTTATCATGTTCAAGTGAGCAGAGTGGTCCAATTACACCTTTGGATAGCATTTAACTTTTGCATTGCTACTGTGAAACTATATGAGAAACTAAGAAACTATATGAGGTAGATAAATGATATTATTCTACAATTATCTTGTCGTATTACAAAAATAGGAGTACAACACTACAAACAGGCATTTATCAACATCAAAGAAGTACCAACCAGTCAGGGGGGAACTGCTGGGAACCTGTCGATACTTGCATAACTAATTATAAGCAGCTAAGTTCCACAAAAATATACATTTAAAGAATTATATCAAACACAAATTTATACTATGAGCTTCAATTTTTTACTTATGCTTCTTTATTCTATAAAGAAATTATATACAATAAAAAATTACATTTAAAAAAATGGAGTTTCTAATTGCAAAAGGTTAATGCTTTTCTAATAACATTCATAGTAATTGTCATCAATTAACTTTTAAATATATTAAGCATTAAATATTATAAGTTTACCCATACCAGTGTATCTAATGTATTGAACAATAATATCGGTCTACTCTATAAGATTGGCCTTACATATCCCCTCATGTAAGAAAAAAAACTTACAAAACATTTTATGGAGATAAATATGCAATGTTAGAAATCCAATGCACCACATTATATGAACATTGACATGCAGTGCATACCTCAAAGTCAATTAATTGAATAATGTTGTTGTTTCCCTTGAATCTCTTTAAATACTCAATTTCTTGGCAAAACCCATATGCAGTTGCATAATCTCGTCCCTTAAGCTTGATTCGTTTCAAGGCATATATTCTGCAGTCTGATGAAATAACTTTGTGCACTTCACTACTTCCGCCACTACCTATCTTACCAAGCCTTTGGTAAATCTTTCCGTTAACATTGAAATATAAATCAGAATCATGAGTTTTTCGTCGAGATGAAGATGTGACTTTACTGTTTGTCCCTTTCTCTAGCTTCTCTAACTTGGAAGGTTCTTCTTTTAAGCCTGATGAAGATACTTTTGGCAAGGCAACCTCAGATTGAATATCTAAGGCATCTACTTTTCCAGAACAGCCATCAAAAGGGGAAGGATCAATGGAAGTATCGCCCAACTTAGGTACATTGTTGTGTTGCTCCTTACTTTGGTAAAGCATCTTAGCTTCCGGTTCAGTTTTGGCTCTAGAATCAGAAGCTGTAAGGGATTCTTGACCGGCTAATACTTTATTTTCATTCTTAGATGACAAATGTAAGGGCTGCATTATATCCTTGTGGGGAACCTCTTCACAACTCAGCTTGGACTTTGCTACGCGGTCCACAGCTAATTGAGAACTGCTCATCTGATGAGATTGAGAGAAATAGGATGTTGAACTAAGCATAGGGGCTGAGTTAGTAATCGATGTTGTGATGCAAGATGACCCAATACCCGAAGATTGAGTAATTGGGTGACTAAAATCACTCTGTAGAAAGTTACTAAATTGATGAGGGTGACCACCCTCTGTTCCTTTATCTTGCAAAGAAACCCCAGTTTCAGACCTTAAATTACATTCTGGATTTGCAACATTTTGATATGTCGATACCTGAATGGCAGCAGTTGGGGCCTCCAACTGGTTACTTATGAACCATCCTATTCCTGTCAATGCAAGTGAATTCATATGAGACAAGAAATCATTCTTTTGAGTGGCCGTCAGCCTCTACATGGAGAATTGTATTGATACATGTAACAATTGGAATTGAACTAATCCTCTTTTGCATTATAAATAATCCAAATACTAAAACAAACAAATATATAATGTGGTTATGCATTGGGAGATAATATGCTCATCATACATTGATGAGATGGAATTTATTGTTTGAAGAAGTTTGTTGTTACCCTGAGATCTAGGATTGTAATCTGTGGCATAATGTACTTTCTTCTTCCCTTCAGCCAGTGGAACATCAGGATTGCTTGCAACTGCAGACTCAAATGTAATATTGCTTTGATGCCCCTCAGTCGATCCAACTTGGTCACCCCGAGCATTCAATGGTCTAAAATCTTGTTCATTTGTACTCAAAGTCGAATTCCAATCAGAACGTGGAGTGACGGATGCATCTTCTTGAGATTCTCGGACAACCGAGACTGTGTTCTGGGTTTGCGAAATGCAACCCTGGAGGTTGTGACTAACCAGAATATCAACATGTCCCTTCTGCATATCACATGTAGAACCTACACTTGTGATTGAGCTTCTTGAAACTTCCCTTCTAGGAACCTGCTCCCTCCTTGGTCTTAAATTATTTGATTGCACGTTTACTACAAGATCCTCAAAGTTAGATGCAGTTTCAAACCAAAACCTTTGTTTACAAATGATTCATACAAAAATCTTGATAAATAGACTACAATGCAGTTGCTCAATAATACTCAAAAACCATGTTATTTGATTAAAAGAAAAAACTTGTCCAATTACTCTTCTCTCTTTTAGAAACAATGTTTACCCCCTCTCGGGTTCTATATAATGCTTATACAGCAAGCTAATGTCCTAGAAAATCTACTCTATTTGGATACAAACTTGAAGCACAATCAACAAATTACCAATTCCTTCAAAACAAAAATCTAGAAAGAGACAGGGTAAAAGCACGGCAAACTACATGGTACATACGGATGTACGGTACATCATAGCAAACTTTTAATTAAAAAAAATTCAATATGAACACTATGATATTTCAGAATGAACACTACGTTGTTTTAGGATGAACACTACGTTCTTTGACAATGAACACTACGCTGAGTGGACTTGAAATGAATACTACATTGTTTCATAATAAACACTACATTTTCGTAAATGAATATTATAATTGTAATGAACAAATGTGTGAAAATGAACACTAGGTTAATTCAGAATGAACACTACGTTGATTATTAAACATGAACATTTGATGGATGTATAATATAGGCTCTCTAGAAGCAAAACTTCCTCAGCACAGCAACATTAGAGAACCGAAACCCCAAATTAACTGTCCAGAAGCCAACATTTCGTCTCAATTGAAAATCAATTGGATGCAGTTAAAAGATTTGGGAGAGTTACCGAGGGGTCTATGGCGCTTGAAGGTGGCTTGAACTTCACGGAGAAAGTCGGGGGCTGACGGGGAGGAGTTAGAAGAACAGTGGAGTTTGGTGGTGTGGGGATTGGGGTTGATCGGACGGACTGGAATGGAGATAGCAGTCGCTGCCGGTGGGTTTGGACGGTTAGTTTCCCTCTCCATGACACTTCATTTTATCAGTTTATTCACATTGCTCTGGGCGCAACGAGGGAACTGTGGATTTCGAATCTGAACTCTGAAGGAGGAGGAGGACAGAGAAGAGAAAAGGGAAAACTTTGAATCCCGTGTTGGCGCTCCTCAATTCTCAAACTTCATTCCCTAAAAGCTGGCCCCAACCAAAGCTCTCTCTCTTGCCTGTCAACTGGTTAGATTTGGGGCCGAGCCAAGGGGTTATATGCCACTAATGCCAGTAGATCTGTCAAAACTAAACCGGTCTTGATAACTCAAACCGAATAACTCGAAACCGAACTTGATTAGACCCGAAATCGATTAGACCCGAAATTGTGTCCCCTTACTCGCCAGTCTGTCACTGGTTATTTTATTTTGTTAGGTGGCTCTCCTGTCTCATGGCGACCTAAGAAGCAAACTACGATTTCCTGATCTTCCGCAGAGGCTGAATATCGGGATATGGCGAATGCATGTGCCGAAATACGGTGGTTGCGTGGGCTCTTGGCGGCGTTAGGTGTCCCTTGTGTAGCGACTCCTCGTTTATATTGTGATAACAAGTCTGCTCTGTTTATCGCCGCCAATCCAGTTTTTCATTAGCGTTCGAAGCACATTGATATTGATTGTCACATTGTCCGGGAGTGCATTTAGCGTAATCATGTCGTCACCGCTTATGTTCCTACGCGTCTCCAAACTGCAGACATTTTCACAAAGGCTTTGTCTGGTCCTCTTTTTCACTGCTTATTGTCCAAGTTGGGCATTTATGATCTTCATGCTCCAACTGAGGGGGAGTGTTAGCGTAGTATATTTGTGTATACCGGTTTACTATGTATCGGGCCATGTACATTGTGGACCCGTAACTAGCGTACTTAACCATGTATATAAACTCTTTGTAATCAACGGAAAACATAAGTTTCACGTCCAATAATTTCTACATTTATTGTCTTCGAACTTAAAGTTTGACTAACATCGTCTATTCAAATATATTAGCAAAAAAATATTAAAAATAATACATTTAAAGTGTTTTTTTAATACCAACAATTTGGTAATAACTTTTACTATGAATATTTTAATTCATTATATATATTTATATAGAGTTATTCAAATATTTGACACACAAAGTGAAATGGATAGTTAAATAGAAATATAGGAAGTACGAAGTAGAATGTTAACTTAAAAGGTCGCGCCGAAAACTTTAGGAGGGAAAACTTTAGAATGTAACAATTAGTCAATTATGTAGATGTTATTTTTTATGTACGTCCGTGTTAAATAATAAAATAATAACGAAGTATATCATAAATTGACTAAATTTATTATGCGATACTATTGGTTTATTAGTACGGAGTATATATTTAAAATATACATGAAATAATATAAACCTAAATTGATCCAAACCCGAATCAATATAAACCCGAACCGATACAAATCTGAACCAAAACCGAACCGAAACCAAAAACCATTCAAACTGAAATAAATCTGGAACCGAACTGACCCAAACCGAACTGATCCGAACCGATTATAACATATATCCAAAAAACACCCGAATCAATAAGACCCGAATCGGAATCGAACCGATTGACCCGATTGTTAGGTCTATATGCTAGTATCAATTACTCGTTATAAAACTTGTCAGTGGCTCCCCCTCGTTTGGTCTTGATTTTTGTATACTAAAAAATTGGACTCTTCGGATTTACTATGGTATCCGATATACTCATGATAAAAATTCATATTTTTACACTAAATATTCCCTCCATTCCAATATGAATTATTGTTCTAAGTTTATAAAATTTGACAAAATTTATTTTGAATATAATTTATTTGATTGTAGATGTAAAATTCAAAGATAAAGTTTATAAATTTAAAAGTTATGTTAAAAATTCTCAAAACAAGAAGTAACATGTCTATTTTAAATTATGATATGAGTAAATATATAGTTAATAAAATTTGACATTGTAAATAGTGTCTATGTAGTCAGATAGATGAAGTAATTGATTGAAAATAGTACAACTACTACTCTATCTGTCCCAATTTAAATCACATGCTTTGGTTTTCGATGTTTAACAGAAACTATTTTCAATGCAATTTATTAGAAAGTTAGAGCAAAATTCAAAAAATAAACTTTACATACGAAGTATTAAAAAATTACGTCGACGAACCAAGAAGTGACATGACTATTTGATTTTATCAAATAAGTAATGAAAATAAGAAAAGAAAGTAAATGAAGTTTGACCTTGTGAATAGTATAAAATAAAAATATCCAAATAGAGTATTACTCGGTAAGGGTAGAGGGTATACATACTTTGTGAGGATATACATACACCAATTTGCCAACTTACTACAATTATTTTTAAATAGAAAACCATTTTTAAACTTTTGATATAAATTAATTTATAGTTTTTATGTATTTAATTGTTTTAATAACTTAACTAAATAATTTTAAAAAATATAATTTATAAATATTTAATTAATACGGTAATAACATGATAATATTTCATTGATTTAAATGAAACCACAACACTAACAAGAAAATAGCAATCTAGAAGAGCGTAAAAACAACAATACTACATTGAAGAAACTACTAAAGCAAAACAAAAAATAGAAACATAGCAATACCAGAAAAATGCGGTGTAAATTAAGATAATGATACTAAAAATTAGATTTTTGAGGGAGTGGTGCTTAAAATGGGTGTGAAAGAAATAAACGTTTTTTTGTATATAAAGTTGTAATTAATTACTAATTTAAAACAAATTTTAAACTATTAATAGTACTCCGTAATAATTATAGTAAAGAGAAGAAGGAATAGAAATCACCATAAATGCGACTAAAACATTGATAAAAGTACCAAAATAAGAATTTCATGTTTTTTTTGAAATAGGACTTTGCACTGTGATAATGTGGCACTGTACATGTGCACATTACTATACTTTTTTGGTAATATATAACCATGTTTGGTAATGTAAGTCTTATTTCAGGAATAAAAAAATGAAAGTCCTATTTTGACATATTTTTAATGTCTTGGTCCGAGAGGAAACGCAATATGATCTGCAAACTTGTAGACTATTACGTATTTTTTTTATTGGTATGAGATGGTGTTACCATGTTTTTTTAAATGCCACATAAGAAGACAAGAATAGCATGACACTGTGGCAATATCCCTTAGATAAAAAAAAATAGTTTCTAGATACTCCCTCCGTCCTAAAGTATTTGTCCACTTTTATTTTTGCACACCATCCAATACACTTTTACATGCTTTGACCAAAAAAATTTAAAAAAAAAACATATTTTTCTAATTTTAGATATTGTTTGGTGTTGCTTATATGAATTCATTTATTCTACGACAACGAATAATAATTTCCTTATGTATAAAATATGATAATCAATCTTCTAAATCTTCTAAAAATTTGACAATGTGTAATAAAAATTGGCATGTGGAGTGTCCGCATGTCATTGATATTTGACAGGTAAGCTTCCATATGGCGGAACGTAAAAATCGATGTCTTAAGTTGATGGCAAAAACTCTGCTTAATTAGGTAAAACTTCCTAAGTATTATTGGGTGGATGTTATGAATATCGCGAGCTACGTATTAAATGTTACAATTCTCGTATAGATTACGACGGACGGGAAAGATGAACGGCCACAGAAAATAAAAATAAATGAAATTCTGAATTTATAACTTATTCAAAATATTACAAAATAAACAAAGTTGAAAAATAAATTTCTATATCTTTAAAAGGCCTTGTTGTATGAGGACATTATGCACTGGACAGCGAGGACATTATGCACGCGGACGAAGACACTTTGTGAGGCAGCGAAGTCACTAGGCAGTGGCGAGGACATTAAGGCTTGAACCAGACCACCAGTGAAGACATTATGGCCTAGGGCAGAATACAACGAGGACTTCTTAGTCCGTGTCTTTTTACTTCGTCTTAGTTTAGTCTCTATTTCGGTTTCATCAATTAAACTTGTATTAAACTGATCCGAGGAACCATTGTTCAACATTTCATCATGTGAACGTTTGGACAAACTTGCTCCTTCCCTCGACTTTAACGGAAATATATTTTCGAAGAATGTTGCATTCCTCGATTCCATTATCATGTTCTTATGTATTTCTGGATTATCAGACCTATACACTAAGAATCAATACGCACTACCACTGTAGCCAATAAAGATTCCATCAACGGTCTTTGGAGCAATCTTTATTTTCTTTGGTGGTGGTGCGAAAATTTTTGCAAGGCACCCCCACACTTTCAGGTATTTATAGGAAGGTTTTCTATTATACCACAACTCGTAAGGAGTCTTATCGAGTTTTTTTCGGGGTATTTTATTTAACAAATAATTGCTAGATAAAATAGCCCCCCCCCACATATTTTGGGGTAGCCCCGAACTGAGCCTTTTTTGCTCAAGATTAGCTTATCAGACTCGAACACTATGCGAAATCCATGTTTGTTCAATAGTGAGTTTGACACCAAGTTTTTCCGTATGTTTGGAACATACAACACATCATTCAGCGTGAGCTCCTTGCCGGATGTCATCTTGAGCTTCACTTTGCCCACGCCTTGAACCTCAGATTGGGCGGAGTTGCCCATCCACACCTTGTCGCCAGAAGTCTGATTGGAGCAGATATGACGAGTGGCTCCAGTGTCAACCCACCACTCCTTTAGGTTAGACCCGACCAAGTTAACCTATGTTACGACCGCACAAAGATCCATAGCATCTAGCTTCGAGCAGAGAGCTTCTTCCTTCTTCTGCTTCTTCTTCTAAGGCTTCTTGCAGCACTCTGAAGAGCGGTGGCCCGTAATGCCACAGTTGTAGCATTTCCCCACGAACATAGTCTTCGCGACGCCCTCTTTAGCACCAATTTTCTTCTTGTCCTTATTTGGCTTGAGCCCTTTGGAAGAACCTTCTTTGGGTGGATGCTCCACCACATTGGCCTTAGCAACAGCTACTTTCTTCTCGCGAGTGAGACCCTGTTCACGGATCCGGAGACGAACAAGCAACTGTTCTAGAGTCATTTCTTTCCGTTTGAGCTTGAGATAGCTCCAGAACTCATCCCAAGCCGGAGGGAGCACATGAATAATCGTCGCCACTTGGAATGCCTCACTGACTCCCATTCCCTTGTCAGTGCACTCATTATAAATGAGGATCAATTCTTCAGCTTGACTGACCACGGGTTTGGAATCCACCATCTTAAAATATAAAACCTTACCAACAACGAATTTCTTTGCACCGGCGTCCTCGGCCTGGTATTTGTTGGATAGTGTAGTCCATAACTCCTTTGCGGATGTAGCCGTGCTATAAACAGCGTATAAGGCATCACTCAAACAATTCAAGATAAGGTTAAGACACGTATAGTTATTCGCTATCCATGCCTCCTTGCCTTGAACTGTTGACTCGTCCGCGTTCTCCCCCACAACAGGGAGATCCTCCCTCAAGTACCTTGCAAGGTTGAGGGTGGTCAGCTAAAATAACATCCTTTGCTGCCATATTTTGAAGCCAACACCTATGAACTTTGCCGGTTCTTTGACAGAATTCGCAAGCAGCATGACAGTAGGATGTCCGACCAGTGCGGATGTGAAGACATCCGTGTTCGGTCCAAGTGAGGGAATGACTGGTATGGCCGAAGCCATATTCAGTGCGAGTAGGATGACCATTGCGGCCATAGCCGCGGTTGGTCCATTAAACGAGGTGACCGGAGCGGACCCCATAGTCGTGATCGATCCAACGAAGGTGAGGATCAGAGTGGACCCCACGGCCGCACTCGATCCGAAAGGAACGTTGATCAGAGTGGTCTGCCCAATAGAACCACCCAATCCAGCCGAAACGTTCATAACCGGAGTCTTGGAACTACTCCCGTTTCCCGTGTGAGCGTCAAAACCGAAATCGTCCATATCCGCCATCGTGCATGGATATGTCTACTACCTTAAGATTGTTACAATTATCATACGGATTACAATAGACGGGGAAGATAAACGGCCTCGGAAAATAAAAATAAATGAAATTTTAAATTTATAACTTATTCAGAATATTACAAAATAAACAAAGTTGAAAAATAAACTTCTATATCTTCAAAAGGCCTTGTTGTATGAGGACATTATGCACTGGACAGCGAGGACATTATGCACTGGGCTGAAGCAGAAAGTCTGGGACGAAGACACTGTGTGAGGCAGCGAGGTCACTGGGCAGTGGCGAGGACATTAAGGCTTGAACCAGACCACCAGCGAAGACATTATGGCCTAGGGCAGAATACAGCGAGGTCTTTATGAACTGAACCTGCTAAACAAAACACCGTGGAAGGACAGCGGAGTCGCCAGAGCTGTCCTTAAGGTAGTAATGCCCGCCCATCGTACCGGAAAAATGTGGGCACTCTCCTCCTAGGATAAAACCGCTATCGTGTGTGGAGATTGTAATGACCAACCACACACCAACAAACAAGAACAACTTATGAACATTGGCGACCAAAAACTTTGAAGGGGATTGCCGGAAATTCGGCAGAAAATCTGGAGCTCTCTCTAAAAAATAAGAAAGTATTTTTCCTTTTTTTTCCTTACTCACGCATGAAAACACCCCACAACAATGAGGAGCCCCTTTGACTTTTATAACCAAGCCATTTAAAAAATGTAATTTACACACTATTAAGTCTTAGTATTAAACCATGGCATTTGTGGCACACTAATGGCGTGTTAATGGTGATTAATTAGCCATTAACACGTCCGTTACGCTACGCTCCGTTTAAAATTTGTCCCGTACAATTGGAGATTAATGCTCAGTTAACTCCGTAAAAATGTACTACTTTTAAACAATACGTAAAATTAATAATAGAAGATTGGTTCAGTAAAATTGCAAAAAATTGCAATCCTTATCATATTCTTCTATTAACGGGTTAACTCTTAGAATCAATTTCTCATTCACCCTCTACCATTTTTTCCATATAAATTATCAAAACATTTATCTCATTTAAGAGAACACACGTCCATTAATTAACGGTTAAAACCGTTATTGGACCTATTGACAAATATACCCAAGTGAGTCCATTTAATGCCTATTAAAAATGCCAAACATTTCAACATTAAATCGATCCGTCATTAGATCGATACTCAAGATAATTCTTTAGAAATTATACAAAGAAAGAAAGCTAAATATTTCCCATCTTCGAGTCTTAGGATGGAAATATTTTGTTCATAATAATGGGGAAAATAACATGGATAAATATTATGCAAAATCTATTTGAGAAATATTTCATGGTTATTCATTGCATAGTACGTAAGGCTAGACCAATAGAGTTTTTAATAAATGTACTTTGACTATTGAGGAATCACCTCATGTTGTGCTTGCCGAGATTGATGTTCGCTTAGTGAGAAATGATATTTTTGATGACCTTGTAGATTCTAGGGCTGGGTCCGGAAAACCGAAAACCGAAAACTAAACTGAAATCAATCGAACAATACCAAAAAAAACGTACCGTGAAAACCGAAACCGAACTCAAAAAACCGAACCGAACCGAACCGATTGAATTCGGTTTCGGTTTCGGTTTTGGGTATTTAAAACCGAACCGAACCGCTGTAGACCGAATAGTATTTATTATACCTTTTAGGTTTACGGTCAATAGTCAGACTCCTCAAAATCTCAAATCTTCAAATCCTCAGGCAGAGAGTCAGAGACGACTGATACGGAGTCCAACACTTGCGACTGTTCCGACTTCCGAGTTCCGAATCACAGAGAGCCAGAGACGCAGACGAAGTTTTTGAATAGCAGTGACGGCTGAGCCGCAGTCCAACACTTCGCTGTGCAGCCTGTGCTCTTCCACCATCCGCCATCGCAGTGACACAGTCCAAGATTGACGAGAATCTTCAATTTTTGTCCAAGATTGAAGCATCTAACCAAGAAGGTATGAAATCATATGTTCTTTAATTTTTTTATCAAATCATTCTAGGAATTGAAGTTTTCTCTTGTATAACTCTCATATTTTGCAGAAGTTTTCTTTGTTCTTAAATTTTTTTTGTATAAATCCCAAATTTTGGCTTCAATTTGCACAGAAGTTTTTTTTGAAGGAGCACAGAAGTTTTCTTTGTTCTATACAATTCTCACTTTTAAGGCCTTGGCCTCCACAAGCTTCTCTACATTCCTAATTTAATCCATATAATGAAATTTATTAAAATAAATAAAATCAACAAATTCTTGCCTGATTGACGGAGACACGGAGTAGAACTAAACTGGATATAATGGTATAGGATTACTATAGGGCATCCCTTCATTGGTTCCATTTTGGTCTAAAATTCAACACTGGTGAAGATAAATAGCCAATCCTTTTCATGGAGTGTTAACTGTTAAGGCTAAGTTTTTTGAAAGAATGTTTTCATTTGTTTTTAATTATGCATATTTTATGTTGTGTGTTTCCATTTCGTGGCATGCTGTGTTGGTGGCTGTGATGAAACTCTCAGGCTCTCTGGCAGCTAATGCATTTTTACAGTTTTTTACTGCAAATTACTACATTTCTCCCAGTTTTTTTTTGCTTGTAATTGTAGTTTATTTAATGTTTTCCTTGTAGGTTTGCAAACTTTACTCTCTATCGATTGTTTGGCATATATATATAATAATAGGTCTCTACCTAAAATATTATTTTACTTTTAAATTAAATTTTTTAAAAACCGAAAGAATTGAAAAAAACCGAAATTCAAACCGCTAAAAACCGAACCGTATAGCGATTGGTTTTCTCTTTTTTTTTATACAAAACCGAACCGAACCGCACCGCCAAAATGCCTTCCGTTCTGTCTTTGGCTTTAGGTAAAAACCGAACCGTTAAAACCGAACCCACCCCTAGTAGATTCTTTAGAGAAAATTTATCTCCAAGACAATGATGAGGACTATGGATGAAACAACTTGACGAAAGTTGAGAATTAGATTCAAAAAAATTGGAGGTGAACATCAAAAAGGAAAAACTCATAAAGGAAGAAGAAAATGAGCTCCTAATGAATGGAAAACATCTAGACATCACCCACTTGACAATGTAATTACTGATGTTGAGAATGTGTGTTAAGTACTCAAAACTCTATTAGGAACACAATTAAGCACATGGCTTCTATTTCTCAAATTGGACCAGCAATCATCTCAAAAGCAATTAATGATGAACATTAGACCTTTGCAACACAAAAGAAGCTTAACTAATTCAAACAAAATGATGTTTGAGATTTGGTAGCAAGACTCGGTGATCATACAGTAATTGCTACAAAATGGGCATTTCATAACAAAATTGACAAAAATGATTTCATCATCACTAAAACAAGCTTGGTTTGTAGCTAGAGGTCACAATTAAAAAGAATGCATTCATTTTAAAGAAACTTATGCACCGAATGAATGTTACAAGTGCCCTCCTGAAAGGTTTTATTTAAGAGGAAAGTATGTCGAACAACCCCCGAGTTTTGAAGACTTTGAATTTCCAACTCATGTCTTCAAACTTAAGAAAGCACTCTATGGTCTCAAACAAGCTCATTGGACTTGGTACGAACGTTTGAGCAAGTTTGTTTTGGACAATGGATTTAAAAGGGGAAGGTTGACACCATACTTTTTATCAAGAATAAAAACAATATTATATTTTTTGTTCAATTTTATGTAAATGCCATTATATTCGGTGTAACTAATGAATATTTGTGCAAGGAATTTAGGAAATGATGAAAAATAAATTTGAGATGTTTGTGATGTGTGAGCTTAATTTCTTCTTCGGCTTACAGGTGAAACAAATGAAGCAAATTTCATTTAATTTGTTAATCTAAATAATATTGCAAGGAGTTGTTAAAGAGATTTAAAATGGAAAACTCTAAGGTATTGCAATGCCTATGCGCACATTTGACCACTTAGACAAGGATGAAAAAGGTGATGAAGTAGAAGTAAAGTATGGCCGTATGGAACTAAGGTATTATGTTTAGTGTTTGTTGGTACGACGAGTGTGGGACTAAGGTATCCCAAAGGTAGGTAGTTATTGCAACCTTGTGGGCCTGAATCTGATTTTACAAGTTGTAATTGTGCTGTAAAATCACGAGTGGGATGTGCCATTTGTTTTGTAGTTCTCTAGTTTAATGGTTTAGTAAAAGAGCAAGTTAGTAATGCATTGTTATTAGAATATATTTTGTATATATTCTTTTATTAATGTGTTTCCTTGTAGAGTTGTATTTCCTTAGATAGTTTTGGAAGCTGATATTAGCGCTGCAACAAAGTTATCTGCGCTCCACTTTTTAATTAAATGCCAAAATTACCCTTTCAACTATTGATACCTTAGCATCTTATCCTTATTCACCCCACCACATTTCACCCACTCTCTTCATCTCCACTGGTTTATCTTCTTTCAATTTTCATCCCTCTTCCTCTTCTTTTTTTTCCGAGATGGATGTTGAGTCTCACTGAAATCATTTGGATGACCAATCTCACTTAGAAAGCATAATAAATCTCATCAAAAACAAGAGCTTAGAAGAAATATGTCAAGAATTCATTGTTGGAGGTTAGTTTATTTATAATTAATTATACTTAATTAATTTTATTTTATGAATTTATGGTGTAGTAAATACAATAATTATTTGGTGTGATGCTATATCTTACTTGAAGGATAATTCTGTATATAAGTGCTTAGGTTTAGTTGTGCAATACTATGTATTTTGGAAAGATTTAAAGTCAAATTTTAATTTGGTTTGTAAATTGAATTTCACATGTTTTAAGTGAAAATAGTTTTAATATCTAACAAGCACTTTGAAGATTATTGTTCTTTTATGTTTCGATTTGTCTTTTTTTTTAAATTTATTCATTTTCCTTCTCTAATAACCCCATTTGCTCTTACTTTCTCAAAAATTAATGGGTAGATTTTCCTCAACAATCAAAGGTGACTTGGTTTTAAAGTGTTTTAACTCACTCTATATGGTTA